GGCGCGCTTCACACTTTCCCCAGACGACCCCACGACACAATCCTACCAAAAGGTGTTCCAGGCAGCATCCTGACAAAATATGCCTTGGAATAAAAAAACCGAAGTCAGGTTCATGATTGAATACAAATAAGAGTGCAAACACACTGTGTGAGGTGACTTGCCGCATTCCTTTTAAGATACTTGGCTTCTACGCAGATTGTCAGTAAAGCTGCTTTTCAGAGAAGAAATAGATCAATGGAGCCCATTAGATCATGTGGACTCCTGCGTTCAGTAGGCGCTGATAACAAGAACAGAAACTTGACTAAAAACGAAGGCTGATTAATATAAAGATATATTAACTGTGGTAAACTGAACGCATTCTTCGTGAGCACGAGGACATTCAAAAGCCTACAGCCCAAGAGCATTCCGCCACCATTCGCTTCAAACAAAAACGCTCCTAAGGAAAAAATAACATATCGTGAAGCGCTGCACTGAATACTTCCGGCGCACAGAGGAATCACACTGCCACTACGCAAACTGTCTTCACCTGCTGGCATTGTTATCAGCGCCTGCATTCTCTTAACTGAATACCCGCTGCTTCGCTACAACACTAACTGGGCGCCACCGTAAACGAGTAGGACCGGCACAGCCCAAAAACTCATAACCTGCCCTCATTGCCAATAAGATGTACGGGTCTGAATGACAATCTGTCCGTTAGACTCGACAGCATTGGACCTTCTCCGGGAAATGGCGTTGGCTCGTACGTGAATTAGAAAGCAGACGGACTTTTGAAGCTTGTAAATATGTCACTTTCTCCCTCCCTCCTCATTGTTTTTCAGTGAGACAGCGCTTTTTGGTCTTTCATCTGCTAGTTGGCCGTTTTACTCCTCTGTTAGCCCTTATCATCGGTACTGTTACCCTACCTTGTCCACTTGCAGGACATTGATGTCAACCGTCTGCGCTACACCTGCCCCAGATGCGAGCGTTCCCTCCGCCCAGAGCTTGCCACCGTGATTCCCATCCTAGAAGATCTGCTTCCATTTGTTGCGCCACCCAAGTCGGACGCCGCTGGGAAGGCTAGTGGGTCAAGGCCAGAAGAGCAGGAGGCCTCCGTGGGTGCTCTGCCCGGCGCCACCTCGTCCATTACCTCGGGTCTTGTGGTCTCCCTCATCTCGGTCGCCTTCCTTCTGCGTCTTCCCGACCTTGCTGCTGTACAGATGTTGTGTGAACGTGCCTTTGCCTTTGCCCGTCGGGTTCGTACCATCCT